TTCTCCTGAGAGCTCGTGTTTGAACGCTTCGTGCTGCTGTGGGCCTGTTTAGGAACAAACAGCGTGTGTGGAGGGTGCGGTGATGTGATGTGATGTGTGTGCCGGCACGAGCGCGGGGAGGCTCAGCAAGTGAGGAGAGCCCGGGGGCCGGGCCTGATGGGAACCGGGAGCCGGGAACCGGGAACCGGGAGCTGGGAACCAGGAACCGGGAGCCGGGAGCTGGGAACCAGGAGCCGGGAACCGGGAGCCGGGAGCTGGGAACCGGGAACCGGGAGCCGCCGCTCTGGCCCCTTGGCCGCCGGGAAGGGCGGGGGCAGCGATCGCCCGGGGCGGGAATTTGCTGCCGGTTTCGTGGGCTTTGGAAAGTTTACGGGCTGCTTCGGTTCGTTGGCTCTTGTGATGCGGTGTTCATTGGATCCGTGTCAGAAGAATTCTCTTGAGTATATTATTTAAAAAAAAAAGCCAAAATGTTACATATTATTGGGCCGTCTCTGTTCGCATGAACGAGGTGGGTTGTACCTCCCGGCTTGCTCTGAACACTGACCTCTTGGAGTTTAGGAAATGTGCTTAAATAATGCTGATTTTACCAGTTTTACTCAGGTGAAGTACTGGTTCCTTTTATCAGTAGTTCTGGTGATTTGAAAGCTTTGGGGAAGAACGCTCTAGGGAGAAGTAGATCTATTTGCTGAACAGCTTTTTATTGGAAGTATTCTAGAGACACAATGCTTATTAATGTTTTAAATTGTTAACAAATAAATGCCTTTTGTTATGTTTTACTAGGCTGCATTTCTAACAGGTAATGCAACCTCAGTTACCATTTCATTCGCTTTCTGTAGGGAACACTTGAAGTTATTTTGTCAGTATGAGATGTTACAGCTTCTATTGTATCTTCAAATGAGTCAGAATCTGTGAATTTAAGTACATCTAAACCAGTTTTAAGTAACAAGAATCCTCCTGTCTCTTCAGTCAGAAATAGTATATTGATAAAAATGAATGAGAATTAATTTTATTTAATAAATCTTTGTTAGAACTTTTGTGCAAATTAATGCCTGAATGTACAAGGATTTGTAACACTTATCCTCTTCTTTGCTTTCAAAATGCACTTCAAATATTTAAATAATACTTTGTTTAATGAGTTATCCCTTAAAGACTAATATCCATGTATTTAAAAGTTAACTTTTAAATGCATAGAAGTCTAAAAGAAAACACACTTTGGACTCATAATTGCATGTATGTTTTAGATATATAATGTTGCTGTTGCACTTGGTACCAAGAGTTTACAAAAAGAACAACTGTAAATAAGAAAATATATATTTTCGTATTCTATATTCTGTAATATTTGTATTGACATCAAATGCATTAGGTGACTTTGAGGTTTTAAAATTTATTCTTTGGATTAACTTTAGACTACAGAAACAGATTTTCTGAGTGCTTGTATAGTATTTTAAAAGACCATGCACAAGCCCTTAATGTATTTCATTTGCACATTATGTTGAAATCAGCAGTGCAACGAAGTCTCAATCCAGGCTTTCAGTTTTGCTGTGGTAAACTTGTCCAAAGACACGGAACACCCAGAGATTATGCTCTAATATTGATGAAGAGTTTGCTGTGTCCAGTTCCAGGAAAGAAGATGAGAGGGCTAAGGAATACAGCACTCACACTGTTTAAGTAAACCTCACTGGTTGATGTCATGGAGATGTCAAAGTTGTACACCTAACTCACCCTCCCACCCTCCAAATAAGAAACAACCAACAGAGCCAAATGTGTCCTTCCATGTATTCTCAGGCATCCTCCTGTCTCAAGGCACAATGAGCCATTATGAAAAAGACCTTGATGGGTGTTTGCCTAACGTGTTCTTAAAGCCTTAAATACAGATTCCCCTCATTCCTCAGGCAGTCTAGTCCAGTTCTTAACTATCCTTTTTCAAATGTATAGCTTAAATCTCTTTTGCTGCAATTTAGCCTCCTTATTCAAAGTTAATATAAAGGACCGTGTTCCTTTTCTTTTGCAGTATTTCTTTTACATAAACTAAAGACTATTGCCTTCTATTTTTGGTCCAAAGCATGGATTATTTCCTTTTTAAATCATTTCTGAAACAAATGACCTTTTGTTGCACCCCTCTAGCGCCCGTCCAGGCTTTTCGCAACTTCACTTCTCCTGAGAGCTCGTGTTTGAACGCTTCGTGCTGCTGTGGGCCTGTTTAGGAACAAACAGCGTGTGTGGAGGGTGCGGTGATGTGATGTGATGTGTGTGCCGGCACGAGCGCGGGGAGGCTCAGCAAGTGAGGAGAGCCCGGGGGCCGGGCCTGATGGGAACCGGGAGCCGGGAACCGGGAACCGGGAGCTGGGAACCAGGAACCGGGAGCCGGGAGCTGGGAACCAGGAGCCGGGAACCGGGAGCCGGGAGCTGGGAACCGGGAACCGGGAGCCGCCGCTCTGGCCCCTTGGCCGCCGGGAAGGGCGGGGGCAGCGATCGCCCGGGGCGGGAATTTGCTGCCGGTTTCGTGGGCTTTGGAAAGTTTACGGGCTGCTTCGGTTCGTTGGCTCTTGTGATGCGGTGTTCATTGGATCCGTGTCAGAAGAATTCTCTTGAGTATATTATTTAAAAAAAAAAGCCAAAATGTTACATATTATTGGGCCGTCTCTGTTCGCATGAACGAGGTGGGTTGTACCTCCCGGCTTGCTCTGAACACTGACCTCTTGGAGTTTAGGAAATGTGCTTAAATAATGCTGATTTTACCAGTTTTACTCAGGTGAAGTACTGGTTCCTTTTATCAGTAGTTCTGGTGATTTGAAAGCTTTGGGGAAGAACGCTCTAGGGAGAAGTAGATCTATTTGCTGAACAGCTTTTTATTGGAAGTATTCTAGAGACACAATGCTTATTAATGTTTTAAATTGTTAACAAATAAATGCCTTTTGTTATGTTTTACTAGGCTGCATTTCTAACAGGTAATGCAACCTCAGTTACCATTTCATTCGCTTTCTGTAGGGAACACTTGAAGTTATTTTGTCAGTATGAGATGTTACAGCTTCTATTGTATCTTCAAATGAGTCAGAATCTGTGAATTTAAGTACATCTAAACCAGTTTTAAGTAACAAGAATCCTCCTGTCTCTTCAGTCAGAAATAGTATATTGATAAAAATGAATGAGAATTAATTTTATTTAATAAATCTTTGTTAGAACTTTTGTGCAAATTAATGCCTGAATGTACAAGGATTTGTAACACTTATCCTCTTCTTTGCTTTCAAAATGCACTTCAAATATTTAAATAATACTTTGTTTAATGAGTTATCCCTTAAAGACTAATATCCATGTATTTAAAAGTTAACTTTTAAATGCATAGAAGTCTAAAAGAAAACACACTTTGGACTCATAATTGCATGTATGTTTTAGATATATAATGTTGCTGTTGCACTTGGTACCAAGAGTTTACAAAAAGAACAACTGTAAATAAGAAAATATATATTTTCGTATTCTATATTCTGTAATATTTGTATTGACATCAAATGCATTAGGTGACTTTGAGGTTTTAAAATTTATTCTTTGGATTAACTTTAGACTACAGAAACAGATTTTCTGAGTGCTTGTATAGTATTTTAAAAGACCATGCACAAGCCCTTAATGTATTTCATTTGCACATTATGTTGAAATCAGCAGTGCAACGAAGTCTCAATCCAGGCTTTCAGTTTTGCTGTGGTAAACTTGTCCAAAGACACGGAACACCCAGAGATTATGCTCTAATATTGATGAAGAGTTTGCTGTGTCCAGTTCCAGGAAAGAAGATGAGAGGGCTAAGGAATACAGCACTCACACTGTTTAAGTAAACCTCGCTGGTTGATGTCATGGAGATGTCAAAGTTGTACACCTAACTCACCCTCCCACCCCCCAAATAAGAAACAACCAACAGAGCCAAATGTGTCCTTCCATGTATTCTCAGGCATCCTCCTGTCTCAAGGCACAATGAGCCATTATGAAAAAGACCTTGATGGGTGTTTGCCTAACGTGTTCTTAAAGCCTTAAATACAGATTCCCCTCATTCCTCAGGCAGTCTAGTCCAGTTCTTAACTATCCTTTTTCAAATGTATAGCTTAAATCTCTTTTGCTGCAATTTAGCCTCCTTATTCAAAGTTAATATAAAGGACCGTGTTCCTTTTCTTTTTGCAGTATTCTTTTACATAAACTAAAGACTATTGCCTTCTATTTTTGGTCCAAAGCATGGATTATTTCCTTTTTAAATCATTTCTGAAACAAATGACCTTTTGTTGCACCCCTCTAGCGCCCGTCCAGGCTTTTCGCAACTTCTCTTTATCTTGTGACAACACTTCTGATTATGCATCTCAGTGGGATGTATGCCTTTTTCAATCTCATGAACTTGTTGACTCGTTCGGCTTGTGATCCACTCTACCTATTGTTGTGGGTTTTTTCTGCAAGTTTGTGTTGGGTTTTTTTCTGTGCAGTTGATTATTTTTTGCTTGTCAGCACCCCCCTGCCCTGGCACCCACCCCGCAGTGATTTCAAACTCTAGTCTTGACTTTTTTTCTCTTTGTAGTACCTCTTAACCTGGTGTTGGATGCATGTTTATAAGCATAATCTCTAAGCCTTTATCCAAAGATATTACAATATTGACGTGTACGAAGAATGTTATTCGATACAAACTTACAGTTTGATAGTGAGCTACTAATAGAGATCCTCTGAGCACAACCAGTGTTGCAGTAGATTTATGTAGTTTCTGTCCAGATTGAATTTCCTTCCTTAAGAAAATGTCGATGGAACAGAATGTCAAGCGTCACCGAAGTGAAGATCTTCAGTTTCTTTATGTCTGTGGAACCATAAATGGTTTGATAAATTGTTGTGAACAGATCATGTTGCTTGTTTAGTGTCACTTTGTTATTTTCCAGGTATCTACAAATATTTTTAATTTGTCCAGGAATTTTAGTTAAGTTGGCTGGTTTCTAATTTCCTGACTGGTTGACTTTTTAAAGGAAAAGACTCTGTTCTTTTATAGTGTCTTGAAATACCTACTAGTTTCAAAGAGAAGATTGCTTTCTGCCATTAGGTTCTGAAATTTGTGGTAAAGTTTGATTAGGAAATCATAAGAGGCTTTCAAAGAGGATATTTGGCCCAGATATTTAATAACAACAAAGACAGAAGTCCAAAACTGTACTCCTGTAAATTTTTTTTCTCTCTCTTGTATGAGGCACCTGAAATTTGTAAACATCCTTAGATTTTTACAGTTTTTTCCCTGAATACTTAAAGTTTGCTTTTTTTCTGCTAGGAAAGTTATTCCAGTTTCAACAGTGCTGACCAGTTTTTCCTAACCTCTCACTGAAGCATAGTGAAGGATCAAACTGTAGCTATTTAATCTTCTTTTATGGCTTAATGCAGTTGGTATACTCTGTACAGTTTTACCATAATTGGGCTCTGTAAAAATGCAGTGATAATGAGTTTTATTTTTTACTCTGCAAATGCAGTAATAGAGAAGTAGTTCCTGCCTATTTTTTTTTGTAAGGAAGCCTCCTGGCTAGAGCATTCACCGAGAATTGAACAGGCCATCCTAGTTTTCTCCTCTTCACACAGCCACCCATTTGTTCATATTTCCTGTGAAAAAGCCTTCTAAAAAGAAGAGATGTTGGTTTAAGGAAAGGGGAGGGGCTGGGGGTGCTGGAAGGTCACCTCCAAATAAAGTACCTGCAGTTAAACAGGATCATCTTTCGTTTGAGACACATTGCTCCTCTCTATGTCTTTTTATCAGCAAAGCTGTGTGCAGTTTTCTCTGTAACATCCTGGTTGTTTATGAACTGATTTTTTGAAATGTGTGTTTTCAGTCTTAGGCTTTTGTTTGTTTGCTTGAGAAATCCAAGTTTATAATACATTATTTTGGATTCTACTTTGAGTGCTGCCTATATCAAAGCTAGTAATTACAGCAGTAAATGATGCAATGACTCAGTTCCTTTTTGGATCTAACTCTTTTTTAAAAAGAATGAGACGGGCTGGTGCTAGATGAATTGAAATCAACAGGAAGAGTCCCTTTTACTTTGAAAGGCACTGAATCTTGTCCTAGTTTTCATGTTACTTTGTCTGGTTACTAGAATTTCAAACTTTGCTTTTAGTATTTTGTGGTATCAATAGGACTGTATTCAAACCTTTGACCAAGCTTAAGTTTAAAAATTATTACCTGACACAATTTGAGACATTTTCAGTGAATGCCTGACAAAAGATACATTTTGAGATTAATAATCACTGATAATTTCGTATGCATCACTGCTATAAAAAGCTTTCTCCACCTCAAATATGAAGTTTTCTTTTTAATGTATCTTTGATATACACTGTGATAAGTAGTCAGAAGAAAGTTGTAGAAATGAGTTTCTGATCTCTAAAGTAGCTCTTGTTATAATTCTACAGAACAGCAAGGAGAACATAATCTACTTGTAAATAAAACATTTGCCTTTATTTTACTACTGAAAATATATGCACATGCTAGGAAATGGCTATTGAATTTCTTAGTGTAAAATAAAATCATTAAATGCAGAATCCTTATGTTTGTTTTAAATGTAATTGCTCTAAAAGTAGCTGCTGATTCATCATTAAAATGCAAACGTATTTGGCTCCATTATTGTACGAGCACTGGAAGAAACTAAAGGAATAGCTCATGTGATCTTTTTATTAACAGATTGGCAGCATATTTGGTTTTGATAAGAAAAAGACCATTAATGCTGTCAACAAAGCAGCTATTTCTAAGTAATTATATATACTAGTCCTTCTTCTACCTAACAACTTATATACTTGAAA